AGTGGTTTCAGGAAAGGGAGAAGTACATTAGATCCAGCTTTAAGTTTGGAACATGAAATTAGGAAAGCACAGGTAAACAAGGAAAGTGTTGTGGCTGTCTTCTTTGACATAGAGAAAGCATGATGAAACATGATGTGGAGAGAAGGGTTATTAATTAGACTTTGTAAGTTGGGTATTAAGGGTCGAATGTATGGATGGATAAAGGATTTTATATTACAAAGATGTATAGAAGTCAGAGTAGGAAAGAGCTATTCTGGAAAGTTTGGTATTGAAAATGAAACACCTCAAGGTAGTATTGTCAGTCCATTACTATTCTCCATAATGATAAACGATGTGTTCAGTGAAATTGAAAATGGGATTGTCACTATTTGCAGATGATGGGGCAATTTGGAAGAGGGGAAGAAATGTGGAATTCATAGTAAACAAACTGCAGAGAGCCATTTTGAAGGTAGAAGAGTGGTCATATAAATGGGGTTTTAAATTCTCAGTAAGACAAAGACGATGTTCTTTACAAGGAGACAAATTGGTAGTGAAGTAAAACTAGAACTATATAATCATGAATTGGAGAGTAAAACACTTTAAATATTTAGGTTTGTGGTTTGACGAAAGGATCACATGGGCTGTACATAATAATAAAGTAGAGAATACATGTAAAAAAGCATTAAATATAATGAGGTGTTTGGTGGGAAGTGAATGGGGGGCAGATAGAACTGCTTTGAAAACAATATACAGTGGATTAATTAGATCTATATTAGATTATGGTTGTGTGGTGTATGGATCAGCAGCAAGCATATCTCTTAAAAAACTGGATGTTATTCAATATCAGGCCATTGCCTGATATTGAATAACATCTGTGAAGAACACAGTTAGCATTGAGTTATTGGGCAAATCTACAGGGACACAGTGAAGAACATCCAACACAAGAAACGTTAGAACCTTGCTGGGAAAAGGAGAGGAGGGAGACAAGAAGCTTTGGCTGGACAGTAGCATAGAAAGCAACAGAACTTGGCATAGCTAAATTAAACTTCAGTCCAACAGTCCCGTTACCAACAATAGCACCGTGGATACTTCCTGATGCAACAGTAGACTTTACGTTATTAAAAAAGAAGAACAAGGGTAGAGCGGATCATTTCAATTGGCATACAATACAGGCACATAGACAGTTACCACGTTATATCCAGGTGTTCACAGATGCATCAAAGAATTTAGGAAACAAGGTAGGAGTGGCATTTATTGTCCCAGAATTTAATATTAAAATAGCACTACAGTCAGCACTACAGTGAATATAGGACACAAGACCATTGAGGGCAATCATTTGTTCAGACTCAAGCTCATCATTAGCCAGATTACAGAACAGCCATTCAGACAGTAGACCAGACATCCTCATTGAAATACAACAAACATTATACAGAATTCAAATGATGGGTCTGACAGTCATATTCCTATGGGTACCAGCACATATTGGGGTCATAGGAAATGAAATGGCAGATAAAGCTGCAAAAGAGGCCACAAAAAATAACTGTACTAATGTTGCAGAAACAATGTAAATCAGAAACAAAAAGTATCATTAAACAGAGGTTGAAGGAAAGTTGGCAGAAGCAATGGGAAGAAGACAGGAAAGGACGATGGTTTTACCGAGTTCAGAGGAAAGTGGGAGAAATGAGATGTGCAGGAAGGAACAGGAGAGAGGAAACTGTAATATCAAGTCTTAGATTTGGTCATACAGGCCTAAACGGTATGCTTAAATAAATAGGTAAACATGAAACAGGAAAATGTGATTATTGTGAGCAAGAGGAAACAATAGAGCATGTAATTGTACAATGTCAGAAATATGAGCCGGAAAGAGGGCAGCTGATTGGAGACCTCGGAAAGATGAAGGTACGGTTGGATATAGTGGATATTCTGCAAAAGAACTCAAAAAGTGAGTGTTATCAAGTATTATTTCAATATCTTAGATTAATTAATATTATTAAGAAAATAAGAGCTCGTTGTTTTGTTTTGTTTATTTTTTCTTTTCCTTTTGAATTAAATTTTGTATATAAGTAGCCTATTAGACATCCTGATCCACACTCCATACCAGTTGGTGGCGGTAATGCGCTAATTCCTTGTTTGCCAACCGCCAATAAACCTCAAATAAGAAGAAGAAGAAGAAGAAGAAGAAGAAGACTGGTCACAGAGCCAACCGGAACCTTTTACCTAGAGTCGAGCTTATGGGAAGACTTTGAATGTGGCACCCGAGTCCTGTATTCACTTCCGTAAACAAGTGGTTCTCTTCCTCTAGTGAACACATGCGCTAATACACCTAGGGTTTCGTCGAGCAGTTGTTTTCAACACACTGTCATAACTCTACCAACATCATTCCTCGTGTCCTGAGGCAGTACACGGTGGAATATGGAGGTGGACGGTAGGGACTTTTTGAACTCTCCTCCTGTTAAGACGGTCAGATTTGGAGGCACTGTAGTGGAAACGTTAGCTAAACATAAACGGGTGAGTGGTAACGTCATGCTATCAAACAGAGCTGGGGCTGTGTGTTTATGTCAGCCATGTGAACATGGACATCTCTGGAAGATGTTGATGATGAATAAGAACATTATATTAACAAGGACCGCGTGAACTGTAGACTGGCAGCTTTCAGTCTGTGATTGGCTGTTTCTCTCGTTTGAAGGGAGACTCCAGTGACTATGAGCTGCTGAAACACCAGCTGGCTGATCCCGAGATAAAGGTAGAGTAAAGCACCTGAGTGTTTCAGGGGACCTGGGATCTGTGTAGTGGTGGTGTGTTCCTTAATGAGCTCTCTCCTCTGACAGGATGCCCAGATCATCAACTGGCTTCAAGAATTTCGGAGTTGTGTGACCCAGCTCACCAAGGACCACGAGCAGCTCATCTATACCATCCTGGTGAGTGTGCAAAGACAACAGCATGAAGCTTGAAGAGTGCTCGTTGTAGCTCATCGTCTTCAGCTGCATGGGTGCACAGACCGCCTTAAGAGCTGAAGGGATTAGTTGACTGACTAATGGCTGAAACTCTTCTGTGGTTGTGTGTGTGTGTGTTTTCTAGAGGCTTCCGTGGGTGGGGCGGAGCCAGGCTGTGGTGGAGGAGTACATGGCCTTCCTCAGTAACCTGGTCTCGGCACAGACTGTCTACCTGTGTGCCTGTCTCAAGATGGTGGTCTCCCACTTTACTCCCAGTAGGTTCCCCTGACTGGTGGTAAAATAATCCAATGTTTCTACAATAAATACAGAATTGAAGCTCTTAACTATCTAGTGTTGCCTGACTGTCATCCTTGTATGTTTTCAGTTTAAATGTTAAGGCAAAGAGAGACCATGAGATATGTTTACTGTATCTCACCATCAGTGACTGGTGGAGTAATATTGTGTGTTTTTGTTTCCAGAGAGAGTGACTATCTGTGAGGGAGGGGTTGATATCTCCGATTCAGATGATGAAGATGAAAGTAAGTGTACACGTGCATGAGGCGTCTTTTACTCTCACGATTCAGTGCACAATACTGAGGGATCGCTGTCACACACTTTTCAATAAACTTAAACTTAAGACATACAAGCAAAGCACTTTTAACATTTTTTCAAGTGTTAATCGGGGGAAATACCAGTGTTGATGTGCATAAATAGTTCATGTACATGGCCTTATGAAAATCAATTATTAGATCTCCTGAGCATATTTCACGATCAGCAGATGGATTTAATAGTAGTCTAGCTGTCAACATCAGCTGGAATCCCATGTGTGCTATCATAACCATCCTGTGGTTGGTTTGTTTGCTTTCACACCACAAACAAACCGCACCAGAGTCCACGAGGAAGTGGCCCGAGTCCCACCTCTTCCACTGGTCTAGGTTCAGTTATGGTTAGAATCCAGGTTGGATTGACAGTTTTCACAGCAGCCCAAATGAACCAGACTAACCGGCAAACAGACCTGAGTTAGTTTGAACCGAACCACACAGGTAAGGTGTGACGCAGCATTAAGACAGTGAGAAGTATGAATGAGACACTGGCTCCCATCCTTCTCCTCAAAGTCTCTGGTTAATCACTCATGATGGAGCGATGAACACAAATTCTACTGCTCCTTTGATTTGTCTAGACCTCCCCAGAAACTTCAATCAGTGTCACCAGGCCTTGCAGCTCATCACCAAATATGTTCCAAGGTAAGTCACTTTCATTGCTTTATTATTGTGTATGGTTTCACTCAGCTATTTGTTTTCTATATTCTATTCTATGACTTTTTACAACTTTGGAATAAATAACAGGGCTTGACAAGAGAATGACCTCCGATTAAGCCGGAGAAGGTTGTCACACATCCACTATTAATGTCTCTGTAACTCTGAAGGCTGTTGTCATTATGTTCTATCAGCAGAGTTGTGTGTCGTCGGTGTAGAAATGGATATTATGGTTCCGTATGATGTCAGCCTGAGGGAGCAGAGTAGAATGTTTGTTTCACAGTTAAGCAAACCATCAAGTATCCACACAAATGTGTAATGAACAGCTTAGTTGTATTGGATTGGTATCAGTATGGGCAGATACTCAAGGTGTCTGTATTGGACATGAAGAGCTACAGAAACTGGAAGCAGGGAGTGGAAATGTATACAAATGTCTGTTCCAACTGAGTTCTAACTCTCGACTGACTGCAGCAGAGGACACTGTGCCATTCAACGTTTTCTTCATGAAGCTGCTTTTCTTGAGCTCTCAGCATCACAAGACAAAAGGCAGGAGCAGCTTCTTGTTCAGTCGGCAGTCACAACCTTTTAAAGAGGTTCGTGGAGGAGTGTATCTCTGCTGATGACCTCACATACAGCCTGCTTCATGTGTGATGAACGCAGTTTCAGACATGACTTCTGGTGAACCAGTGCAACACGTGTCAACAGCCCCCATCAGATGTTATCGAGCAGCATTTATGCAAACCAGATGAACTGTGGTTGGGCTCATTGACATCTGGAGTCTTGGTGAATAGTAGACTTAAATGTTCTCCGATCGTTCTCAAGGATAACCTTTATAACCCAACTAAACCTGCTCTGTAGGGACTCCTTTACCATTCTTTAACAAAAGATAATGTCACTTGTGTATGTATTTATGAACATATATATATATATATGTGTATGTGTGTGTGTGTGTGTGTGTGTGTGTGTGTGTGTGTATATATGTATGTATGTGTATGTATATATATGTGTATGTATGTATGTGTATGTATATGTATATATATATGTGTGTATATGTGTGTATATGTGTGTGTGTATGTGTGTATATATATATGTATGTGTGTATATATATGTATGTGTGTATATGTATATACATGTGTGTGTATATGTATATACATGTGTGTGTATATGTATATATATGTGTGTATATGTATATATATGTGTGTATATGTATATATATGTGTATGTGTATGTGTATATCCATCCATCCATCCATCCATTTTCCACCGCTTATCCGGGGTCGGGTCGCGGTGGCAGCAGGTCAAGCAGGCTGACCCAGACCTCCCTCTCACCGGCAACATGTTCCAGCTCATTCTGGGGGATCCCGAGGCGTTCCCAGGCCAGCTGGGAGATGTAATCTCTCCAGCGTGTTCTGGGTCTTCCCCGGGGTCTCTTCCCAGTTGGACGTGCCTGGAAAACCTCCAGTGGGAGGCGTCCAGGAGGCATCCTAATTAGATGCCCGAACCACCTCAGCTGAACACGTATATGTATATGTGTATGTGTATGTATATGTATATGTATATGTATATGTATGTATATATGTATGTATATGTATGTATATATGTATATATGTATGTATATGTATGTATATATGTATACATGTATGTATGTATGTATGTATGTATGTATATATATATGTATGTATATATATATGTATGTATATAT